ATTTGTTGGTATATTTGTCCATCAAACTGAAAGTAGGTAGTGAGGCAGAGGTTGATGAGGTGCATGATTCTGGGTATTTTGATCCTAGCATATTTGGCTAGGTTGGATGTGTTGTGTAGTACTGCTGCCATGGTTTTGTTATGAGGTGTGATGAGGTTATGAGAAGTGATGCATAAGACAACAGAGGAATGAAAAATATATAAATTGAATAACAATGATTGAAAGATTTGCACACTTTTAATGAGAAAACTGTGATAAGTTTGGATTTATTCTAAAGATTAGTAGCGTGGTAATTTCACTCATTTTTCAAAAAATATTTTAATGCTGCATTAGGGCAAATCTTTTCAAGGTACAGCATAAGAGTAACAAAAATACAAAACAATCAAAGATAAATCCAGCAGCCCCACTTTAAATCTCTTTGTAATAATTTGGTGCTCTAATAAAACCTGTTACCACACATTAATCTTTCAGCTGCACATTCAGTAACTCTTTTCTAAGGAACTCCAACAGCCGTTTAGATTTTTTTCAGCTCATTTGTGGTTGGGACAATTTTATCCAAATGTTCCTTAAAAAAAAGAAAAGAAAAGAAATAACAGTGCTATTTTCCACAGCAAACTGGGTATCCGCAACATGCCAAAAACATACTGAAAGTTTCAAAACCATAAAAATACATAGCACTAGAGAACACATAGCAATATAAGCAAAAGCAAGAAGATCACAAGAACCCAACATTCCAGTAGCTTAATTTTTTTTTTTTTTAAATGATTCCATAATAAGGCCCTCATTATGCATTGGATGGTGTAATCCCTTGCTGTTTGGGAGGGAGGTTGGGGATCTGTTGAATCCCATGGAAATGCTACTTTGTTAGTGGATAGGGATCCTGCTTGCGGGGCACCACATCCACCACTAAAACTATTCTAGATGTTGTGCAAAACTTTTCGCTGCTATCGCAATCCTAGTAATGGTGTTTTAAAAGCAGGGCTGAAGCAAGAGAGGCTGTAGATCTTCCAACCCTACTGGCACTAATCCTGTGCCACCCTTGGAGGTTCTTCACTATCGTTAGTTAATGGGGAGAGAGAAAAGAAACAGGAAATAAGTAGAAATAGGCAGGAGCCCTGTTTCCTGCCCTCATTGCAGTTGCTAGCAGAGTTGGCATATTGTGGTTGCTCCATGAGGGATCCCCCTGCCATCACAAGATATCATATCATAATATTCATATGCAAAAAAAGAGTGTTGAAGATAATACGGAGTTTGGAGGCTAAATCTTATGAAGAATGATTAAAGGGACTGGGTATGTTTCACCTAAAAAAGAGGCGGCTAAGGGGAGACATGATAGCAGCCTTCCACTACTTGAAGAGTTGTCACAGGGAAGAGGATGTAGATGTATTTTCCAGAGCTCCAAGGGTAGTACAGGAACTAATGGTTGAAAGATTTCTAGAGGGAAATCCAGACTCAAAATAAGGAGGAATTTCCTGACCATGAGACCTATTAACCAGTGGAACAGCCAGATTCCTGGAGTTGTGGGTGTTCCATTACTAAAGATTTTCAAGCAAAGTTTGGGCAGCCATTCATCTGGGATGGTATGAAGGGCAGGGGGTTGGACTAGAAGACCTTCAAAGTCTCTTCCATCCCTATACATCTATGATATCATATTCATATTCTAGCAGAGTATATCAGATCATATATTGGATCATATGATATTGTTGGGCAGACTTTTCTAGGAATCGGATTTTCACTGATCTGATTTTTGATGGTTGCACAAAAACACTCCAGTCATCCTTTATATCCTTCCTCTTCCCTTTTGTATACATTGCTACTTCCTTGTACAACTGAAGTGCCTTGTGAGTGGAATAGGAGATTGTGCTCCAGGTATTTTCTCATACAGATTAAATTGTACAATATCTATATATGGTGGTTGCCAAATGCCCTGGCTTGGAGAGATTCATTTGGTAATAATGCTCTTGGCTATGTGCCTATTGTGAGTACAAGATGAAGATCAATATAAGTTAGGGAGATCCGCCAGAAACAACATATTTAATTGGAATTAAATACAGTGAGAAGGGTGACATGGTGTTCAAGTGCCAGAAAGAAAGAATGCATGTGTTTTCCTGCTGCATATTTCATAATGTTAAAACACACAATTCATTTGAGTTACCCCTATGGTATTATCATATTAAAGCAGCTTTGGAAATTATTGTTCTCAAATTACCTGTTTTATATTTCCAGCATGGTGTTGAACATTTTAAATCTCCCAAAGTATCAGCTCTACACAGTGGTGTTATTCAGAACCTGGTGGTTTGTTTCCAGTGGCCTGCAGACATAGTTCAAATTGTTAAATACCCTTTACAGTTTTTCTATTCATCCATGGGACTGGAAGCTCCCTTGCCTCAAACTCTCTGCTAGAGCTGCCATGTTAAATTTAGCCATGAGCTCTGCAAAGGGAGCAGATTGTCCTCTGCAGTCAGGTAAACACAGAAAGGGCAATATTGATACAAGACTTTTACAGGACAATTAAACAAGTCATGAAAGAACTTCAGTTCCTAAAGCCGCTGTGAATAGAGGAAGTTAGCCAGAATCCCTTATTCCAGAGCATGCCTCAGTTTAGCCTTGAAGAACATCATTTTTAATATTCTGAGCATTTCCATAGTTTCCACAGCTTACCTTGCTTTCGGTACTCATGTTTTTGCAAGTTACACCTTTAGTCCAATAGGTCCTCTATTGGGCAGAGGTTTTCTGCCTCCTCCTGAGTTACAGTAGAGATTTTAATTTGCTAGATTGCAGTTATAGTCCTTCAACGCTCAGTTTCTCCCCAAAGAGATGTTAGGGCTCATATCAGCTGGGGAATAAATAATCTACTCTGACCTTGCACTTCTTACTCACATCTCTAAACACCTATCCCTAAGTATGAAGATACTTTCTTCTCATTTAAACATAGGAGAAATGCATCTTGCATTTGTTGCAAGACATCGTCATCTCTTTTTCCTTCATTTTGGAAACTGAAGTCAGGACTGCAAAATGATACCCACATCTGATACCCACTCTTGGACTTTGATATATGGAAAAGTACAGGTATACACCCCCAATGTATACATACCAAGCTGCTATTCAAGGGAAGGAGACAGTGAGCAGCTGAAAACTTGGCAATTTACTTGAACAAATTAAAAATGAGCCCTAACAAGAATTAAGCTGAATTTGGATGAGAACAGCCACAAATAACGTTTTAGTGAACAGCGTACACATCTCTGAAAATTAATTAGTTAAATTAGAAGAAATGGATGAGCAAATCTCATCCTTTTCATTGATCCCAGTTTGCATCTTAATAATATGCTTCAGGCAAATTAACTGTGGTCATATTAGATCAATTCTAGCTGGGCAGAGCCATGGAGGCGTTGAGAGAAATATTCAGAAGCCATTACAAAAACAAAAAGGACAGAAGCATTCCTTGAGCCCTGGGAAAGTAGAAAAGATTAGGAAGAGCCTCAGGCTGGCTCTTCCCTGATTCATGGGGTTATAAGAGGGAGGGGAGGAAAAACACAGTCAGACTTGCAAGATTCTGCTGATATCTCAATAAAGGTTAGTTCTAGTCTTCTTGTGGAGTCTGTTGCCTGATCTGGACAACTCCGAAGGGCTGACACTAGTTTAGAGATGCCACTTGAAGCTTCTAATAATTACTATTTCTAGGTTGTCTTTCTTTCTTCTGAGGTTGAGATTCCTGATGCTCTCATTCTCCTGTTTGGGAGTTGTAGGTTGTTTTACTAGCTATTCTTGGTATCTCACTCTGCATTGAAAACACAAGATAGAAACATACCAATACTAGTAGGGTGACCTTACTCGTATATTTCAGGAGGACCTGGCCATGGTCAGCTGTGGAAACTGAGCCTACATATACCACACTGCAGTGTTTGCAGTCTAGCTGGACAAGTAGAAGATGAGAGCAGAGAAGGGAGGACATGGCCATTACAGCCTATCTGATTGAGCCTGGAATGAACAAACTTAAGCAGTCAGCTGGGGATAGTTCTCCCTGGGGCTGGCTCTAGGGCAGTTCCACTTGCATAGTAGTTGGCTTCAGCAGAGAAACTGCAGTGGTAGCAATGCCCTTTGAGTTTCCCTCTGTCACCAAACCCCTTCAGGAAACAAATATGAGCTCACTGTTTCTTCAGCTCTGAAGGTAGGATGGAGCACAGTCCCAGTCTCAGGAAAATGAAATGGTAAGTCTTATTTACATGGACTCTCTTATTTGCACATACTCCCTGCCCATCTAAATCCCATAGAGTGGCTTTGGGACTGAAGGGATGATATGCATGAACTTAGCACCTGTCTCCTATGGAGGCTGATGCTGAGGGCTAGGCTGCCCTAGAAGGAGATTAGTACCATGTGTGGCCATGTGATTAAACAAGATCTTCCTTGGAACATGGTGTACTGAGGAAGAAAGGGAACTTCATGGCATAAAGGATGTTTTGAGGCTCCAAATATATGAAGGCATAGTTCCTATATGTCTCCGGTTCCTTCCTACAACTTCAAGCTGCTGACTGAAAAGAAACATTGGATAGATGTTTTCATTGTTTCTCTTCATTTCAGGCTGATAGGGAGTATTTATTTCTTCAGGGTCCAGCAAACCTTGGGGAAAGCAGGACATACTTTGTTCCAATGGTCATCTTCTCCATCTCTTGCCATCTATTTCTTAAGTGCATTCTCCCTCTGTACATACTCAGTTTTAATTTACAAGAAATCTGCAATGAATGCTGCATTTATTAATTAATAGAAGGAACACAACGTTTGGTGGCCCAGGCTCTGGTGAGCGCTGTTCCAAAGGGTGCATCAGCTTTTCCAATCTTTTGAACTGTTCTAGCAGAGAACGACAACCAAGGATAGAGGCTGGTACTTGTTCTCATATCTTGAAGCGCTCAGCAAAATCCAGTCCTTGAAATTCTGTGGTGGGGGGGGGGGGAGGGGAAGCAAAACCCCCCCCCATTCCACTTTCAGCTTTGTATTTTTTCCCCAAAATTTTTCTTCCCCTTTATTTTCTGACGTTTTTCCCTCC